GAATTTGTTTTTAACTAAAGATCAAAAAATAAAAATAGATAAAGTACGTCCATTATGAAGATTTATGGCCATTATTATGAATATATCAATAAATAATAAAAAATAGTTTTTGAAAATCAAATTAACAAATATACGTCCTTTCATTATCGATTTTTTTTTAACTAATAGAGTAATAAAATAGATAAAAAATGTCCATTGATATGAAAATATGGAGATTTTTTTATTACATATTTTTTCCATTAAAGACATCGTATATAAATTCATAGGTATGAACTAAATTGATTTTAAAAGATGATATAGGATAATATTTAGATTTCTCTTCTAATTCGATTAGTAATTTGACTGATGTTGACCATTGAATAAATCGGTATGAAGTATACATTGAAACTGAAATATGAAAGTGCTTAAAAAAATTTGATTATTTTGATTTGTAACAAAAAAAGATAAAATACTTTTTAGATTCTTTCCAGCATTAACAATTATACATTAGATAATTGATTAAGAAAAAAAATATCAAAACTGCAAGATATAATAATATTATTTAAATAAAAATATTGTTTAAAGAGAAGTGTTTAGTAATATATGATTTTCATTGTTTGTATTTATATATAAACAATTATATTTAAAATAAAGTTTAAAAAAAAAAGGTTTAAAAATAAAGTTTAAAAAAAAGGTTTAAAATGCATTAGTTTGTTTTTAACTTGGGACTTGCATCTCTATTTATCACATTTCATATAAATGCTTTTGGGGGATACGTCTGATTATTTTTACATCATCTTTGTCTAATGCTTTTTTGGGTGTGATTCTTGATTTGAACTTTGGTATTCGTTAAATTCGAATTCAAATAAAAAATAGTATTACATATCCAAAATTTATAACATGAATACCAATGTACATATTCTTTTTCTTGGTACAAAGAAGGAGGCTACATTCGACTCATTAATTTGCTTCTTTAAAACTAAATATACTAGTATTCATCCTGTGCACATGCACAAAGAAAAATAAAAATTTATATATTAT